TAGAACAATATCAAACATCATCTCATAAATCGTTTTAAGTAGAAAAAAAATTCAGGATAGAACATATTTATGAAAATTACAATTTGGTTAACTAAGAGGCCAAGTAAAGACTAAAAAGAAATGAAAAATGAAAAAAACATAGACAAAGCAAAATGGTATAAAAGCAAAGATGCCAGGAAAATCATCCTTCTAAGAGGAAAATCAATGTAAAATAAACTCATTTTTCCCTGTCCTGTAATATAACTTTGAACAATGAGAAAACATTCATCTGTTAAATGGTTTTCCAGTAAAGAAGATAACTTTGTGCGATAGCAATTACGATACATCCATTACCAACTTTCGTGTTCACTCAATAAGTAGTGGCAGCTAAGGCAGATGTTTTTAAAAATACAATCACCCTTTTATGGATTACAATGATCAAATGAGAAAAAGCATGATCCCTTTGGATTTGGTTTGAGATCGGTAGCTTCTTAAATCCCCATGGTTACAAAATGATCAAAAGTTTCATTGTCCTTAGTCGGCATGCCAACAATTTTGATCTGTTTGAAAACCTCTATTGGATCTATAAACCGTAAAAGAGTGAATATTACGAGATCAAATACATAGATCCTGTGAACCCTAAATAGAATGTGTAGGGACGAATTCACTTTTATATGATTTTATAACAAAGGATAGAAGCAACTACCAAGAAAATCAAAGAAATGTACCATAGATAGCGAAAATAAATAACAACTTAAAGAACAATCGCCTATGCACTCGGATCAAAGCATATCAGTGTATTCAAGCGCAGCACTATGAATTTAGCAAGCACAGCCACATGCAGCTGAACTGTATCTATTAACAAACGTAAACATCCGATGTTACCTTCATCTTCAGGTCCTTTGACGACGACAGAGTGCAGTTTAACGACTTGAAGAAAAGGTATGTAAATCAAAAGCTGCTCATCCGCATCGCTCTCCAGATTCAAACCATCATCTTCTCTATAACCCTAATAGTTAGTCAACAAGAGCAAGTTCAATCCAAAACATGTTCAAGAACTGATCGAGCCTTACATCATAAAAACACAAAAATCGAGATTTGAAACCCCACAACACCATCATAAATCTTTCCCAATATTTAAACAAAACCCCATCAAATTAACATCCAAGAAAAAACTACTACAATAACAAAATAACTAATCTGCAAGTAAAATAAAAGGAACTTTAACGAGAAGTTACTAATACTGTTTACTTTATTAAAAAACCATATTTTTCCAGTAAAAAATCAATTCTAGTACTATTCACTTCTCCTTTTATTTTGTCCTTATCACAACTCAAAGTTTTCAAACCATTTTCATTAGTTTTCTTAAAATTAAAAGTTTAAAACAGTAAAAACCCAGAAGCCGAATGCAAAATTATAAAAATACCTGCTTGAGAGCGTTAGCAACAGAGTGAGAGGTGCTTTGGTTGAGGCATTCAACACCAGACCAATCTATGAAGTCCAATAAATCAACCTGCCACAAAAACAAAATTGAATGTCAGAAAGTCAGCAGCTTTAAACGCAGTGCCGTACTGCAGGCCGGAATTTGAAATTCTCTACACCGGGAGAGGAATTGGGTGATCCAAAAACTGGGTTTTGATCTTGGGAGAAACCCAGATGCCAGATTCAAACTTTTTCCCACCAATTTCCGCGTGTTGTTTTGGTTTTAGTCAAGAAAACAGAAGAGGAAAAGGGAAATCGGGAAGTGGGTGTCTTGCTTACTTGGCTTTTTTGGATTGCACTGGCTGATTCCGCAGACATGGCTGACAAGATTAAGAATTTGAGTTGGAATTTGGAGGACGGAAACGAGAGAGATGGAGTTTGGAGGACGAAAGCTATAAATTGGTCTAGTTGAAGAATCCGAAGCCGAAGAGGGGAAGGAATATGGTGGGTAGAAGCGTCGAAACGGCGCCGTATAAGAGGTTACTTTTCCATTTTTCTATAAAATAATTTTTTTAGTAGGTAGATTTGATCTAAATCACTTATTGGACTCGTAATTACATGTGATTTTTTTTAATACATACGATATTTTCTACATTATGAATGATTGACCTAACACCTCTCACTTACATAAGAATCTTCTTGTTTATATGTGTAGAGTAATAGCATCCGATTATATTATTAAGTAGCAGATAAATATGTCTTGCAATGGAGAAAGACACAAATGACCGCACCAAATAACTGTTCAATGGTCGATATAAAATACTTTGTTCTATATATTTTGATCTCTTTCATCCCGCTTCTTCCAATCTCACCTTCTTAGTTTGGTGCCCATCCTACTTTCTTGCGTTTGGTGTTCGTATAAAGATGTTTGGACTAAAGAATTTCTCGAGTCAGATATTTCCTTCTTTTCCAAAACGGTTTATGTTGAGATGAAACATGTTTTTAGCAATGCAAATCTTGTAGTTGACTTTGGTTTTCCCATATGCTTTTGTTAAAAAGGGTTCTATTTGATTTGTTACACAAATTTGATGCAAAATAAATAAATTTCCTTGTGACTATTTTTTCTTGATATCTAGTTGGTGAGTACAAATGGAAACTCTAATGAAAGTTAAAAGATTAATTTTTGAAAATAATCTAGAACTAGTGAGGGGTTCGAAAAATAATCAGTAAAAATTAACCATAAAATATTGAACGATGAAGATTTAAAAATAAATAAAATTAAGCTGAACTATCGAAGACAAACCCGTAATTCTCACCAAAAACCTCTTATCTCAACCAAACCAAATAGCAAACCGCCAACCACCCACCCATAAAGGTCACATCTTGCATATCCAAAGCTTATACCTTTGAAAATACAAAAAAACAGAGCTCACAAGAAAGCAGAGGAAACAAACAAACAAAAAACAGAGGAAGCAAAGCCAACCTCTTATTTCCTCTCTCCAATTAATTCTACTTCTTCTATCTTACTCTTCCTCCGCTCTCCACCTCTCCAATGGCTTCCTCCTCCCTATCCCTCCTCTCCCCCCACAATGCCTCCACCGCCACCCACCTTATCCTGCGCACCCCCAAATCCCCTAACATGCGCTCTTCCTACCGACCCATGTCCGTCAAAGCGCGCACAGTCCCCGCGCTCACTCAAGATGACCTCAAGAAGCTCGCCGCCGACAAGGCCGTCGAGTACGTCAAATCTGGAATGGTCCTCGGCCTCGGCACCGGCTCCACTGCCGCCTTCGTGGTCTCCAAGCTCGGTGAGCTCCTCAAATCCGGCGAATTGAAGGACATTATTGGAGTCCCGACTTCCAAGCGCACGGAGGACCAAGCTCGCCAGTTGGGTATTCCCCTTTCCGTGCTCGACGATCACCCGAAGATCGATTTGGCGATCGATGGCGCCGATGAGGTCGACCCAAATCTCGATTTGGTCAAAGGGCGCGGCGGAGCTCTGCTGAGGGAGAAGATGGTGGAGGCGGCATCGGAGAAGTTTGTGGTGGTGGCGGACGAAACGAAGCTGGTGACTGGGCTCGGCGGAAGCGGGCTGGCAATGCCGGTGGAGGTGGTGCAGTTCTGCTGGAAATACAACTTGGTGAGGCTTCAGGAGCTGTTTAAGGAAGAAGGGGTGGAGGCGAAATTGAGGGTCGACGGCGACGGGAAGCCGTATGTGACTGATAACTTCAATTACATTGTGGATTTGTACTTCCAGACTCCGATCAAAGACGGGCCGGCGGCAGGGAAGGAGATTTTGAAATTCGAAGGTGTTGTGGAACATGGGTTGTTCTTGGACATGGCGACGGCGGTGATCATTGCCGGCACGAATGGAGTGGATGTGAAGACCAAGTGATTGGATTTTTGGATATTTCCGGTGGCGGTGAGTGTTGAACCTCCATTTGTACTCTGTTTTTTCATATTTTTTGGTGGGGTTTTGTACTTGCTGCTTGTTCTTCAGTATTTCACTGTGAAATTTAGTTCCTTTGGTGTAACTTTTAAATTCACGATATGGGGAATTAGTCGAAAATCCTGCATTCCATGCACTTCTTGTTGGTTGAGCATGTCGGTTTTGATCAGTAGTATACTAACAATGCTAAAGAATGATGGAAGTGTAAATTGAGAAATAATGTGAATTGTTACCTTCGTGCTTCTGCGATTTTCGGTTACTAGATTCTTAGCTCACTATATCGCCTTATTGAGTTGTTGGCAGTCTTGTTTCTGGATATTTTTAGGAGAGTGAACTGAGAAGATAACTGACAACTATAACCGTACTTTTCTTGAGGCTTTCGAGCGTCAAGTGATTCCTGCATTTCAACTCGGCATCCAGAATAGCTAAGATTTCGACAACGTTTTCTCTTGACTTTGAACTGACATTTAAGAGATCACTACCTTTTGAGATTAGAAGATCAAGATCTGTAGCTTTTGTGATCACTGTGACTTGCAAATGAACTGAGTATCGATCAGTGAACAACTTTTGCTAGTTAATGGCTCTCTTGTATGCTGTATGATGCATGTGGCTGTCTCTTTGCAATGGCATGTTAAAGTTAGCAACTTTATGGAGTAAACCGCTCAACGGTGTACCCATGTTCAATGCTTGGATTACTATGTGATATCGGTTAATCTCTTGGTTCATCAGTTTGTAAACTTCTCCGTTTTATGGTGAGTAAACTTATGTCAATAGTCCTTAATGTCTGCAAATACGGCTGTGTTACAGATGAACAGATTCCTATTCAAGCCTAAATCATACAGAACGTGTAACATGGTTTCGGTTGCAACCTGAGTAGCGTATTTATAACTTGATCATGTTTTCGGTTGTCTTCTTTTTCTGTTGATGGCATCTGTTCTTCTTATTGTCTGGTGAGAGGAGGTTTGATCAACGTGTTAAAGTTTTTCCATTGAATTGCAAGTGTTCTAATGAAAATTTGATCTGCGTACGACTTAGTTGTCGTCGTTTCTTATGCCGATTGCATCAGTTCTATAAATTGTTTCACGAGGGTGGGTTTTATCGACATGTAAAATCTTTTCTGTTGTAGCGGAAGTATTTTCTGATGCTTGTAGAAAATCTGCTCTGTCAATGATAGATGATTCGTAAGAGGTATGTACACATAAAAATCTGTATACAAGTGCAATATATGACAGTCGTGGGGCTATGACTGCGTCGATTTATTTACACAAACTGACTTTATACACATTGATGAACTGGTGAAACATCGAGGCGATGTTACAACAACAAAATGAACCTGAAGTTTGTGAAACCAAAGGATGATCAAAAGAACAAATGTAATCCACAATCGTGTAACCGGACTTCCGATCCTACTTCCTCAGAATCATACCCACGGACACCGTCACTATGGCCATCAACAGGAACTTTCCGGGCAAGAACGATGTAGCTGGAAATCGAGAGGAGAAGAGGAAGAAAAGAATGTCAGTCTATTGTGTGGATTTTAGGCTATATTTTCACAACCATGTGATGCCTTTTTAAAGTCAATTGCGTAGAGATGTAAACTTTCAAAACCTCAAGCCCCTTGACCTAGTCTTAATCCTTATTTCCAAGCAATTTAATTAGAAAACTAATCTAAAAACGACATGGTTATCAAACGAGGTTTTACTTAGTTGGCCTTTAGATTGACAGACAATCTCACCTTGACTACTGTCATTCCCAGAGCCAGTGCGGGAATTTGAGTTTGCAACCTTAATTCCTAGACTTGCGCAGTCGGGTTGAAGTGTGCCTGAAAGATTACAAAAAAATTAAAGGAAAACTAACGAAAAGTCCAAAAAAACTTTAGTTTTAATGAAAAATGACAAATAAAAGTGTAGTGAATAGTATCAGGGAAAGATAAAAATATGGTTTTTTGTTAAAAGTGACCAGTAATAAGAGTGTTTCGTTAAAACTCCCTCCCATTACTTTCTCCAGCTTGTTGAAAGTATGTTAATTATGTTGTAAACCAGAATTAAAACAAGTTTAGTTAGTGTTCTTACATTCATTGTAGCAGGGGAATGCTGTGACGTTGAGAAGATTAGAGGAGCCGGATTTGCATTCACAGATGGGTGCGTAATTGTACGTGCTGTTCCTTACGCAGTTACCTTCTCCGCAGTAAGACCAGTAACAAGCTGTTTAACCACCGAAAATTAGAGTTATTAGGAAAAGGAACCAAGTGATTAACTATGTTAATTTATGGATGAGATAATTGAGCTGGTTTAGTGGTAATTACGATCAAAGGCAGATAAATTGTGAGGGACTTCTTTCTTAGGAACTGAAGGTGGAGCTGGCTGGCAGTTGTAGTCCAGTGTACCTGCGAAAACACGAAAATTAGAACCGATCCTAAGTCATGACATCTTGCAGAACAGAATCTTGCTCCTCAAGTTTTTGTTCGAGAGGGGGAGAGTTAGAGCTTACAGTTGGGGATGACACAGGGGAGAAACTTCAGATCATCGTCCCCATCAAACGTTCGCTTCCAGTTCGGTTCGCACTCGCAGGTGAAAGTTAATGGTTCGTTCATGTCGAATTTGCATGCTCCCCTTCCACACTCAACTTGTTTACATATTTCAGCTGCAACAAGAAGAAGATGTGTAAGAAGAAAGAAACTAGTTGATATAAAAGAACAATAATATGTCACTCGTATACATCTTCTCTTTGTTTGTCGAGCCTATAGTGAGTTACAGACAGAGTTCGAAAGGATGTGTGTTTGGAGAGGAAATGAAGTGCTCACCGGCAATCATAGGAGCTAAGTTATCTGGCCAGTCCAAGACGAAAGCAGCCACGGGCACCGCTACCAGAAGCACAGATAAAACGGCCATGGAGTTAGAGAAAGCCATTTGTATCTGGTTTTGAGAGAGAGGGAGGGAGGTATTCTGTGAAGGTTGTTTCTAATGAAGTTAGGCTCTCTCTCTTTATATATATATATTATATGAAGCCTTTAATGGAAGAGATCCTCATTTTTCTATAAAAATTAGGATTAGTTGTAGCGTCCACACGACATCGAATTTTAACAATTCGAACCGTTTATTTTTTAAGTTTCACCTCATAGATCATTCTTGCAAAATATTAGTCAAATTAGAAATATTTAAAACATCTAATTGGGTTCAAAGAAATTAACGAATATTTTGCTATATAAGAAACAATGAAATTTTATCTTGATAATTAAATAGGCAGATGATTTCAGATTGAATTGAACTTTTGCAAGAATTATCTATGAATCGAGACTTACAAAATAGATGGTTCGTATCATTAAAATTCGATGTAAAGTGGGTGTGGGGCTCATTTCACGTCGAACTATACAAGTCCTTTATGCAAAGGGATCCCCATTTTTTTTTTAAATGGAGATTGGGTGTGGAGACCACTCCATATCGAACTGAATATTTTCGATTTGACTAATATTTAGCTAGGATGAGGTGCAATTTGAGAAATAGACGATTCGGATCGTTAAAGTTCGATGTAGTGTATACTGAATTAATATGTGATTAAGACTGAAAACTAAGAAGGTATCAAAGTGGTGGAGACGCTTCTGGTGGCTGCCTAATTCTGTCCCCCGAAAGAAGGTTCCGTAATTTGAAAAAAAAAACGTGAAGAGGGTGGTTGTTAATTTGTTATTGTGCAATGTAATTGCCAATTATTTACGTTAAAATGTTCTTCATAAAATCGAATTTCTTTGGGTCCACTAGAGTTTGCCAAAGTCAACATATGCAACCAGAACAAAGAAATATTCCGGTTTTGACCTTCAAATCCTGCTATTTGACAACATCAAAACAAAACCATATATATTTGGTAATTATGACACGTTGATACGGTTAAACGTCCATTGGTTTTTTAAGTCAGTAAGCTTTGTTACTTAGTGCTATAGTTTAGTGGTATTTTTGTTCACTCGTAAATAAGAGGTCTTAGGTTTAATTCTCGCCAAAGATGAATTTGAACAACATTATTACAGCTAGCCCATTATGAACTTAGCCAACTCTCTACCCCTTTAATATAAATACTATCGTTAGTTAAAAAAAAGTGGGTAAGCTTTGATAGATGGTGGTGTTTTCTTAAAGTTGTTCTTTTTTTAGTCATTGACAACATTGTAGAGATTAGAGTACCTACCATTTAGTCCAAATAAGTAAAGTCCTTTCTACTTGACTATACCTATAGAGATAGGAGCCCTTGGCGTTCATCGATCTCTTAATATAAAAAGCAATTTCTTTCGCGAAAATGCTAACTCAAAACCTACCGATTACAAAGCCAACAAGTTACAAAAAAAAAAAATCGACATTGAAATCAAGAGTATATTTTGCTAAAAGTAATATTAAGTAAACTTTGATTGGAAAGTTTCCTGCTTGGCATTTGCAAGTTCCACCATATTGGTTGGTAGTACAATTCAACGATGTGGTGCAAAATTCAAAACGGGAAGTTGTAATTCTAGAAGAGTGACACGCGGTGGGCAGAAGCTTTGAGCTTCCACAAAGTCAACATTTCTCCTTAATTAAGCTGTCCAATAAATTCTTAATCAAACAACGACAACAAAAGAGGAAGCATTTTTCAAAGGATAATCAATTCGGAACGGGATTCTTTCCAGATCTATTCCACTAAATTCATCAATTCAGACTCTTGAAATATGATTCAACGACTAAAAATAGAGATTTCTTTTAAAAGTTATAATAACTTAAACCGTTTGATCAAATTTCAAAGATCCGAATTAGTGGATTTGGTGGAAGGGATCCCTTTACAATCAATTCACTCACCATCATACGTGGCCTACTAAAATTTTAACATCTGTCAAATAGAAATTTCTCCCGAACTTCTACTATCTTCGTAACCAAACACCATCCGTATTCCATCTTCACAACCAAACACTGTCATCTTATCTCCCTTCTTGCCTATTGCGCAGAAACTCCCCCTCCATCCTCCCTCTTCCCCGGTGAGACCATCCATCAATTCCTCACTTCTCCGGCGAGTCCACCCCCAACCTCTCTCTTCTCAGGCGAGCCCAACCCCATCCCTTCTCTTCTTTTGCGAGACCGCCCCCAATCTCTTACTTTTCCGGCAACCCCAACTCCACCTACCTCTTCTCCGACGACCTGGACTATCCCAACCCCTCTGTTCGCCGGAGAACCCACAGCTAACCCTCTCTTCGACGGCGGCCCCCCTTCATTCCTCTTTGCCGGTCAGATTCCGTTGGTTAGATATGGGTGTTACGAAGGAAGGTCCACGGCGGCGAGATATAGGGATGGGTTGGTTGGGTCGACGAGGAAGACGTCAGATTAGAGGAGGTACTGGCATTGGGTCGGTGGGGTTGACGTCGACAGATACGCCATGGCAGTTTGGAAGGGGAAGAAGAAGGATGATGTTTGGTGCTAGGTTTAAAGGGGGTGGTGGATGTTTGGTTAGCAAGATAGGATGGTGATTGGTAATATTATCTTAGTACAGGTGTTAAAATGTTAGTGGGCCACATAAGATAGTCAGTAAATTGGGTACTCCCCTGTCAGTCTTCAAGTATTATCCTTTTTCCAAATGTCTAAGCCAAAACAAAAGGCCTAATCAGATAAATAATCTTCGTGGTCATAAAGTATTCGGAAGGTAGTCCATGTGGCAAAAAAAATCGAATTTAAATCCTTGTGGTCTAAATCTGTTAGGATTTATACCTAAAATTGAAACTTCTGTCATTCCTCCGTTAGTATCATGCACGTGAATGTCACATGTGAGGATAAGATGGTCATTTCATCCCCGTTTCATCCCTTCCATAGTCACTCTCCATTCATAAACAAAGATATCACGAACTAAAATCGCATCTGGGTGCGCAGCTGAATTCTTTGATTGAATAACTAATTGGCTTTTTGCCTTCTAGTTTGCTTTGTTTGTTTCCTTTTTGTTGCCTTCTTCCCTTTCAAAACCCTACACGTAAACCCCTATATATACCACTAAGAAGGAGACCGATTGGAAAAAAAGAAAAAACTTTCAAGCATAAAACCGCACATGGTGGATACGATTACGAACAAACCATTTTCAAAATAGAACAATCACCTAAAGTTATCAAGATTGCAGCAATAGCTGAGTATGTTGGTGCGACGTCTCCCTCAATTCTTCGCTTAGCCATCGATGTGGCTTTTCAAACACGAACCAAACCTCTGATTTCAATAAAAGAATTTTGTTCGTGCTTTAGAATTGGGAAGGCCATAAGGGTTTTAGCTAAGCTATTGGCATGCTACTAACTATGAAATAACCATCTTATTCTCACATATGAGATTCACGTGCATGTTACTAACAGAGGAATGACAGAAGTTTCAATTTTTGGTATAAATCCTAACAGACTTAGACCACAAGGGTTTAAATCCGAATTTTTTTACCACAAGGGTTATGTTCCGAATACCTTATGACCACGAGGATCATTTATCCGAATAGGCCAAAACAAAAAGAAGATGCCAAACATAGTGAGAACTTTTATTATTAAAAAGAACTAGAGAGTTCGAAACTATTATAATAATTTAGAAAATACAGGAGTTCAAACTCGAGACGTATGAGTGGAAACTCAACATCATATCCACAAAAATATTATACTAATATGTTGGTTTTCTCATGCATAATTGGAAAATTTTGCATTCACAAAAATAGAGCAGGATTCTCTGCCCTTCTACTCTCATCATCTTCCCTCTTCTCCTTTTCCTTCCTCTCATCTTACACTTTGCTTTTTGTTTTATTATCTTTAAAAAAATCAATATAAAATCTTGATGTGATTTAATCATAATCATTTAAATATGAGAGGAAAAAAGATGAGAGAAATTAAGAAGGAAGAGAATCTTTCTTCCACAAAAACAAAAGTGTGCTGCAAGTTAAAAACATGTCAGAGGATTAGGTTTCGAATATTGTCGTCTTGGCGTCTCTGTTGGATATTCTTCCTTTCTCTTTTATTCTTTATATTTTATGATTGGTTCTTTTTTTTTTTATTGGGGTGGTTGAATATGAAATAACTAAATTAATATAATTGAGTTTATTAAAAACCATTGTCCATATATATTAAATCTTTTCGAAAAAAATAGTTCAATGATGTTTAACAAGAAGAGAAATGATGAGAACATTCTCATGATGAACTCTCTGATACTTCATATTTTTTGCACAATATTTTATAATATTTGCACAGAAATTGACGTTAAACTGTATTACACAATATTTTATAATATTTGCACGAGAATTGATATTAAACTATGAAATGACAGAAAGTCTTTAAACAATCCATTTAGCATTTCTCTTAACAAGAATATAGAAGAAAACAATGAGAAGAAGATGAAATCGGAAGTCAAACACACAATAAATTATAAACCAAACCATATAGTTAATTTTATTTGCTCATTAGTGGAGTTTAGGTTTATGATTTCAATAAGCATGAGATTATGCTAATTAATTGAATCGCATGTTCTCAACAACTAAAGAGATTCTTGTGTGGAGCTGGTGATGTATCTTTTTATATCCACGATGAGAGATGAATATACAAAACGATATATCCAGTTATTCATAATCTCTCTCTCACATACGAAAGCTATTTTGTTAGTTTATTAATATGCATCTAATTAATTTAGACCAACTTAATGCCGGTTATTTCAGTCATTTTAAATACACTTCCTAACGAGCCCTGACTTTCCTTCTATAATTCGAGAATATAAAGCTTAGTTAAGCTATACAACTAATTTGGATCAAATTAATGTAGCCCGTTCGAAAGTACTTTAGTTCATGAGAGCTTTTCGTTGAAGTGTTTTTATCATAAAGAAAAGTTGGAACTGTAATTGGTTTTACAAAAAACATTTATAAGACGAATAAGAATTTTTTAAATTTATTGTCAAACGTATTCATAACTCATAAGCGCTTTTAGCAATTTCAGAACCACTCGCAAGTATACCTATTAATTAAGGGATTAATCTTTAAGAAACAAAAACTTCGTTTTAAGTTTTGTGCTCAACCCACTTTTGGGCCATTATGTGAGGCCTACTTGGAGAAGATCATCATACCTAAGCAGGCCAAGCCCAACTTTAACCCACCCACATTCTAACCTGCAATCCAACACCCGTCTATCATTTCTCATCGCTCGCTTAAACCTTCGATTGAGATGCTGAAGAAAGACAAGGGAAAATTGGGCATCCCAGAAAAACCAACAATTATTGGAACTCCTGGTTTGGATTTGGTATCACTAGGTTTGGTCGATGTGGAGAAGATACCAAAATATAACCTGACTGTTGAAGGCGGTCGAAAGCTTGCAAAGGAGAATGAGTATAGTAGGTGCTTGCTTCCTAAATTTTTCATGGGCCTTGTGGGCATGCTAGGAATTTGCTCAAACATAAAATTGGTAGGGTGCAGGCGCGCCACTACTAGATGCCGCTAATAGACGAGATCTGAATGATTGAGGTTATACTTCAATTTGACTTCAAACTAAGAAATTGTGTCATTGAGTGGGAGTTGCTCAAATCAAGGTTATTTGTTTGCGTTAAAGATAAGAACTTTACTTATATGGAGAGATGAAATAATATGTAAATGACAGGGTTGCTGGAAATGTAAATGATAGAGGAGAGCAAATGATTAATATTGTAGATTGCTTGTAATTAAATGATTGGAAATGAGTTGTACATGAACTACAAATAAGATCTGATACTACTAGTGAGTAGCAGAGCTAATAAACAAGGAAAATAATGGATGCTTGGCTAAAGCTAAAGTCTACAAGGAAGCTGATGAGCTAATTTGAGTATAATTGATTGATTGGTTATTTGAGTGTCCATAATCATTCTGCATCTGCTTCTTTATATAAAGATCTGAAAAAACCCCATTGCTAAGAACAATGAACTTGCCTGAAATAAGTTTGGCCAGCTTGCATTGTGAAATGATATTAAAAATAGCAACTTGTACTTCCATCACATGTTTTCACATGTCTCCACCACTTGCAATAAACTAATAATTAAAAGAAGCAAGCTGGCTTCTTTCACATGTTCTCTGCAGGAATGTCTGTGTGGTGTCTTCCCATCCACTTGCAATGAAAAAGCATGCATTTGTCTTGTTTAAACAAATCTCTTGGCAAACCTTCACCACCCAAATAAATGAGAAAAATAATATTATAATGTCAAAAACTACCCTACTTGCATTCAAATATCTTTTCAAGTTAGTCTTTCTCCCAGATAATTCTCCAAATGCCATATTTGCCATATTTAGTCCGAATGGCACATTTTAAGTGCAAACAGTAGGGTAATAATGAAGCGTCACCGTGCAAGGCAGGCAGCAGAGTCCACACTGTTGCGGTGGAGGCGATTGAGGCATTGCCTGGACATTTGAAAGCAGCAGCACTGGTGCCAGATCTTACTCCGTTCCCAGTCAAACGGTTCACGGCAACTCTGACTCCTCCAATTGAAGGTTATATTGATCGAGTTAAGGAAGCTGCAAGAAAGAGCAGTGCAAAGGAGAAGCTCAGATAATTGAAGGTTGATCTTTTTCTTTCGGCTCCTAGTATTTTACTTCCCTGCTAAATTCGTATTCTACTTTGCGGATGATAATTTTTTAGGAAAACTAATGAAAAAAACTTGAAAATTTTGAGTTTTAACGATAAGATTAAAATAAAAGATAAAGTGAATAGATTGCTAAAGTAAATAGTATCCGAATCTTTTAGTTAAAATTTTCGGGAGATTTGGTTGATAAGTTGTGAATCTAGCTTTGAAATAGTTAAGCTCTCACGTGCACCAAAACAATCTGCGGTATTTAAATAAACTTGAGACTTGGCCTCTAGAAAGAAAGGCATGCATCATTCACTAGGTTCCATGCCTCTGCTCGCTTAACTTTGCCGGTTCTCAATATTTTTTCTTGTTTGATATGATTTCATGTTTCTTATGCAGACAGAGTTATGCTTGCGAGGTAGGAGATTTTTTGTTATCGGACCACTAGCATTTACTGAATTCAGAAGAGAGCTAATATTTGTGTTCATGAAGTCAGCGTGTTAACGACGAAGCGATGAAAATGAGAATTCTGGACAAGTTCCAAGTCTTTTAGGGGGCGTTTGTTTGCCCTCACTAAATGGGATTGGATTAGACTGAACTAAAACTCAGAGCAATACCGTGTTTGTTACGCAGCAGGACAACCTTTAGTGGGACTAGCCGGGACTCCCCTCGACAAAGGACGTTGCTAGACAGTCTTAGCAAGTCTCATCGAAAGGCATCAGATTGCTAAGACCTTCGCTGCTTCACTGCATCTGCTTCTCTTCGTCCGCTTCTCTCCCTTGCTCTGCTTCATCTGCTTCATTTGCTTCTCTCTCCCTTGCCCATTTATCTGCTTCTCTCTTTCCCATATCTGAAACCCAGCCCACCCACTGCCTAAATCTCAATACCAAAATTTAAAAAAAAAATTCAAAACAAAAACAACAACAATCCCCATATGAAAATTCTTCCTTATTCCCAATAATTCCCATAAAATTCCCAAAAAAAAAAATATTTTCCCAGAAAATTCCCGAGAAATGGATAGAGAAAGGGAGAGAGTAGCTTTGGTACAAAGAAAAAAGGAGAGACGAAGGAGAGAGTTGCTTTAGGGACGATTTTGCAGGAAAAATCGTTTTGAAGGCGATTGTTTTGCAAGAAAAAATGAGTGTTGGAGAGCGGCACTAACGAGGAAGAAAAGAATGAACTCCCAGGAGAGGAGAGTGTTCCAGACACAAACACAAAGAAAAAGCTTGAATAAAAAATAAAATATTATTGAGTTAATAATAAAATATTATTAAATGTGTATTTAATGATATAAAATTATAGTTGTTAACTATTCTTCTTTTTTTAGTCCGGCATTCTACCAAACGTTTCACTAAATCAGTCCAGCTTAGTCTAGTCTAAGTCAATCCAGCTTAGTCCCTAAAGCTAGTTCAGTCTGAGTTAGTCCGGTGCAACAAACGCACCCTTAAGATTTGTGGAAGGTGTTATGTCAACAATCCCTGACCCCTAAAGAAATGCTGCATTGGCCGGTCCGGAAAGCAATCAATGACGGCCTAATGGGGTATAAGGCTCGTTTGAGATTGTTTTGGTAACACTTATACTCATAAGCATTTCTACACCAAGTGCTTCCATTAAAAACATGTAACTTGGAAGTCCTTGAAGAAGCATTTGACAAGTGCTTCTTTAAAAAGTGCTTCTATGACCTTAAAATACTTCTGACTTGTTTTGTACCTTCAGATTATCTAAAGAATCATGAAATAATAAAGGATCCATGAAATATTAAAGGGAAATGGTTATCACGCACCTTTTCTTCTCTTGCATACCAGCTCATATTTTTGGTAATCAAATTGAATAAAGTAGAAAACAAGAAACAAAATTATACACAAATTCGTCGGGAGAGAAAAACCGTGTAGTTATCATATTCTGAAGTTCCAAATTTGGAAGTTTATAAAAAGGTGATTAGTTAGGTCACTCATCACTGTGACCAGTAACACGAAGAGTTAAGAGGAAATTAGGGATTAATAAGTCCATTGATGCCTTGATTTGATGCAGCTTCCTTCTAAAAAACCAAAAATTCTAAGCAGTTGAATTTTCTTTTCTTTTTTCACTTTATATACCATATGAGGGTGACAAATGGCTTTCTCAGAGAAACCTCTGCAGGCCAAAGTGATTAAATAATCAGCACAAAGATGACCATGCCAGAAAAGCACTTTGAGAAAAAGCCATGCAGATCATATTTTATTTACGCAAGTAAGATCATCGTACATATATGTATACATATGTGTGTGTGTGTATAACTATGTTTATACTCCTCTATATAAAGTGTAACTGCGTAGTCTTCCTGTGGTGCTATAAACTTTTAGTGACAGTTGAAGATGGGAAAGGCAAGCAGATGGATCATCAATTTCTTGGTCGGAAAGCAAGAGAAAAAGATTAACGATGTTCCGAAAACTAACGTTTCGAATGAGTTTGCGCTTACCTTTTCTGCCAGGGCGGCGGTGAAGCAGCTAGGTACGCCGAAAGTGAAGAGAAGGTGGAGCTTTGGGATGTTGGCAGGCAAAGAGGTATCCCGCATGGTTACAAAATCTGTTGATTCAATTGACATCACTAAGTTGTCACTCAAGGCTCAGAAGAATCGTGCTGTGACACCAGGAGATGTCGAAAACGCTGCAGCTACAAGGATTCAAGCTGCCTTCCGTTCGCATTTGGTACGAATTTCCATCCAAAACATTGTGTCATGTTTACTAATCTATAACTGGTTAGTTTCAGGGTCATTCCTAACCCGATTCCAAATAGTTTAGTAAACAACTTTTAATGGGAATTCTGGATTCTGACTCCTCGTGAATTCAATTCATCCTCGCCTAATTACAGATTAGTAAACATGTCATAAGATTCTGAACTCGAAATCTATCTATTTTTCGTAGTCATATCGCTTATGTTGTTGTAGGCAAGGAAGGCTTTACATGCCTTGAAGGGTTTGGTGAAGTTGCAAGCACTGATAAGAGGCCACATTGTGAGGAAACAAACAACTGCTACGTTAATTCAGATGCAGGCGTTGATGGCTATCCAGGTTAGAGCGCGGATTAAGCGAATTCAGATGGCGGAAGAAGCACAGCTAGCTAATAAAAAGCAGTTGATCATTCAAAGAGGCCACCCTCAGGACAATGGAGTTCATAGGGCAAGTCTCCTCCAATCTCAAATGTTTCCTGTTCGTGCTATATGTGCTAGTTTTTGCTTTGATTAATCTCAGCTTACGAAACCCGAGTGAAAATTGCATCATAAACCCAATTGAGCTTGATAAATCACTCGGGTTTCAAAGGCTGAGCTCCTCAAGAAAGCATTTTCTGATCAACCAAACATGGAATGATTAGTAACACACAATCCGGCTCAGGTCCCTAAAATGTACCAAGCTTACAATGTGGTCTTGTTTATGCAGAAGTCAATAGATTTGAACCCGAATGATGTTCAACGAGTTGCGAAAAGCACGAGTGGACACCTTAATCATTCACAAGGTGCAGGGAGGTTTGAACATGGCCATTCGACAATCTATTCTGATCGTCTTTCCATCTCAAACCGGCATCACTACGAGGAATTCTCTTTTGCAACGGCAAATAGTCCCTGGAATTATCCTTCTGCATCCAAACCAAAACCAACAAGACACCCCTTCACTCATCAAGACCAAGATTACACAGATCATGAGAACTCTGCATTCAAGCCAAATTACATGACCAACACGAAATCTTCAAAGGCGAAAGCCAGGTCACAGAGTGAACCAAAGCAAAGGCCCGAAGGAAGCTTGAAGAATAGAAGCAAGCAAACAGAAGTGGATGCCAGACTTGTTGCCATGGACTATCAAGTGCTGAAACGTTCATCCACACAGTTTAAACCCGACGGTCAGAAAAACCAGGATCCCTGGTTTGTTAAGCTCTACAGATCAAGAAGATTGTTCGAGGACAACAAGCATGCCTCCGGTAGCCCGAGTACCGTCCATTCCGACTATCATGAATCTCTTGCTGCGTATGAGGTAAAACTTTAGCTTAACGAACTGAGTTCTGCAGGTTTTTATTGTTGATTTCTGCATTTTTCGTATCTGTCTAATTTCGTCGACTATTTGATTTGCAGCCCCATGTGAACTTGTACTAACAGAAAGGGATGCTGAAGAGCTCGTCCAGACCTATATAGAGCATGCAGAGTCCTACACATCAATGTATATTAAAATGCAAACGCCAAACGTTTTAAGGGGCTCAAGTCCACCTGCTAAAAATGTGCTCTAGAATTTTCGTAGCATGCATTTGCATTACTCAGAAAGAACTTTCCTATGAAAGATACTAATAACTAATTGTACTTGTTCATGAAGTTCAGTGCCAATTTCAAATACCATCTTTTGAAATTTTTTGAACCATTTCTTGACAGAGAGAGAGAGAGAGAGAGAGAGAGAGAGATTCTATTAAGACATCGCAGTTATACAAACTAAGTTGAATTCATGGTGAGAATCAATTCCTTTTCTGAGATCATAACCTGCAAAATCAGGATCTACCTAGGAGCCTAATTCCTCTTGAGAAAAATGAAAACCGAAAACTCGTAACTACAAAAACTAATCGAGTTGGAAATATTATACATGTTGCAACCGCTCATTGTAATTGATCATCCTGGTCGACATTATTTTGCTTGATGCTCTTAGTCAACCAAATAGCAGTTTCCCTAGGAGAGACCTTCCCTGGCCCAAAAGGCTTCAGTAACACCCCAAGCTCGTCATATCGTTCGTTCTGGAGCAATCTTGCACTGAATTCGAGCAGCCCTTCTAAAGCTTCAGCCCTTTGCTGGAATGATGAGGTGTCAAAATGCTGGCGACGCGTGTTTGATGAGGTCCGGCTTGATGCTCCAGCAGTTGCGTTTTGATCCGAACATTCATCGCTTTGATTGTCTGGTGCAGCTTTGAACATGCCAGGTTCAATTCCCTTCCATGCACCTGTGAAACTAAGTTTGCGAGAGGCTCTGTCGCTTATCTGAACGGTGCATTTGTCCTTCATCATTGAACGGTCACCAGAGTGGGGGGAACCAGACGAACCTTGCACTGAGGGTGATGAGTTTCTATGGATAGGCAGAAACTGTTCTTCGTATAATTGTTCTTCATATGAGGCTAATGGGAATTCAGCTATCCTGTCAATTCGAGGGGAATTGACAGAAACGTCAGGAGATTTAATACAGTGAAGAACACCAACATTGGGCCAGAAAGGGGACTGTTGAGTTGCAGCTCTTGTTAATGGCAATGATGCTCTGCGAGTTGTACTCACTGTCTTTTGCGGTGTGCGTGAAACGGGAAGCTGGAAAGATGAATTTTATAAACTTAAACTATTAGATTAGCAAACACTAGCCGTTTAGAAGCTAAAATATTATGCAAAAGTACGGCTAGTGCTTTTATGCAGCTATAGTTTGTTCGAGAAAAACTTGCACCTTTGGTTTGAGAGAGTGTGAGAGAGATCTTACCGATGCACGATTCTTGGGCTCCATAAATCTCTTGGGAGTGGCAGAAGCTTTTGCTGGAGTAACTCGACTGTTAACGATATTTGAAGTTTTGGAAGCAATTGGCTGCTTGCGTATGGCTGCTTTTCTATAGGCTCCAGTGCCACCAACAGAATGTCCTGCAAATTCTCGATTCAGATATTTTGACCTGCCATGCATTTCTTGGGTAGAGCTTACAGAATCTTGCTCACCTCCAGATATACTAGGATTTAAAGTCCTATCATTGCTGAATGTATGCAGCTTGTCCTGGTAACGGCGAGTGGAGAAAGGAACTGCTTCTGGCTCTGAAAACCTTGTCTTCTTCAAGTAACCAGTATCAGGCCAGTTGACCGCTAAAGTTCCATGTCTGGGGTTATTGAGTTTGAGATGAACTTTGTGAACATGAGGCTGAAGGACTGGGTGAGCAAGCAGCTCAGCAGCCTGCCACAACAGAAAACACTTCAAGTGAGATGAAACGTTTGAAAGATGTGAATTGTCACAATTCCGAGGAATCTAATTCTAAAGGAATATTGTGCTTTCATGAAGATAAAAAGAAACCAAAGTTATATCAGGCAACAATGAATTGACAATATGTATTCAGGTATTGGATACAATGCGTTTGAGTTCATAAGCGGAAATTACAAAATGATTGTCAATCAAATAAAACCAGACTGCACCAGCTTGTGGCACATCTTAACGAGATGCATTGGACATTGCACCGAAGAGAAAGATTTTGCACAATGAATCCATAAGTAACTTTGTAATTCTGTCATGTTTGACTATTATCCTAGTATGTCTATCCGTAGACGCATTTACACTAGAGGAGAAGTATACGTACACTTGGCCTGAGTTCTGGGTTTTTCCGAAGCATGCTTTTAATAAGGCTTCGGCTGAAAAAAGAAATACAGAAAGTGATTAGAAACAATATTCACTATGAAAGGTAACTTAATCACATCCAACTAGAAACACGAGGTAACAGAAAATCAGGTTATTAAAGCATCTGTTTGTTTGGTTACAAACATCCTTACACAATTCCAAATGTTGCGGAAATTTATAATGATCGTACAAAGTAAGGAAGGGCGCTAAACATGCAATCCACGTTGAATAGCCACAAAGTATCAAACAAAATAAATAAGGACTCACAATGCACCAGTGTACTTTGTGGGAAGGGGAGCCACTATGGACCTGTTAATTTTGTTAATCAGTGCTTGTATATCCTGTTAAAGAAACAGCAAAAAAAATACGTAAAGAAAAAAATAACATGCGAAAGAAAAAGGAAACAATTTATAAATGCGGAGGAACATTAAACATTTTCTTAAACAAGAAACAGATTGAGGAAACACAAACAACAGAAACAGATTACGAGTTACAAAACTTACAAACGCTTTAAATGCAGCCCTATGAGAAGTCATTTCATACATACAGCATCCTGGACAAAATATGTTTAGTACAATACATATTGCAACTAGAGAAGAAAAATAATCAACAATGAAAAAATTCGCACATACTCGGTGCTTACCCAAAGACCAAATATCTGATTTTGAACCATAAGGTATATCAGCAAGAAGCTCAGGACACATATAGCTAGGAGTTCCGACAACCTGGGTCAGAGATAATGATTCTTACTATAGATCTTCAAGATGTTGTGAATATGAACTTCTGAAGAGAGCCACAGTTACTTACCGAAGAGGCAAGATCGTCTGAAGTCAACATTTTGGCAAGTCCAAAGTCACCTGCTCCAACGTTCATCAATTGTTGTCAGAAAAATTACACTCCGCTTATGGAGAACTATAGAAGATTATAGGATCACTTACCAAGGCGTATGTCTTGATCTTTTGTCAAGAATATATTAGAACACTGAAACAATCATGGACCACTATTAGTACAATTTAGCTTCGGGGAATTTGAAAGGACATAGCAACATACATCTTTTCAACGTGCACAGGAGGATAAATGTCACTAACCTTGACATCACGATGAAGAATATGATTCCTGTGCAAGTAGTCTAGCGCCATCAGAAGTTGGACAAGCCACTTACAGAGCTTCTGAAAAAGTTAATTCCCATATTAGATGATAGGAGCCGAAAAAAGCGACTGTGCAAGGAATGTCTTTTAAGAAAAAAAAAAATTCTGCATGGGGAAACAAAGTGAAGACGAAGAACTAAAACAAATTCATACCTCTTCAGGGAAAAGAAGACCATTGGCCTTTTTTATAGCTTCTGCCCTGTACCGCACAGAAACACAGAATGAGTGGCCTGGCCGACAATATGCAAGCCTTCAAATCAAAGCAAAAATATCAAAGTTTCAGCACGATACAAAACTTACATGTCCCCTCCTGCGCAATAACCGATGATAATGCACACATAGCAACCCTGAAAACAAGGGGTATGAACCAAGTTTAGGCCATTGCAACTAGCTAGGCTACCATAGTTCCAAAGTATCCAACCGGGAATTAATAAAATTACACTAGATACAGAGAAAAGGAAAAGTGCACCACTGAGCACAATTACACTAGATACAGTTGAGGGCAAATGTACCTTTTCCACCCAAGAATCTTTGTACTCCACAATAAATGGATTTTTGAACTTGGAAATGAGCTCCATCTACACAAACAAGGAAAGTTGTAAATCCGGAGGTATCCAATATATATAATAAAGCCTGCAGCATACTCCATCATTTCTTTTCTTTCTATGTTTTCTTTTAGTAAAATCGTGTAGAAAATGAATGAGAAATATTGTAAATGGAAGATTATCAATTGAGTCGAAAAGAAATGGAAGATTATCAGCACCCAAAAACATCAAAAAAGTATAGTAACCTCCTGGTGTGCAGATCTCCGCGATCTATCAGTCTGGCGAGCAAGACGAATCTTTTTCAACACGTACCTTTATATATCAAAGATTCAAAGTTAAGACCAACTCTCAAAATTTGCATGACAATATCATGAGGAATAGTTGAACAGCGCATGTTCCCATGAAAGTAACCATGGATACAGAGACAGAAAAAGGAAAAGTAAATTCCAGTCTTACTTCTTCTTTTCATGCTTATGCCTGACAAGAAGCGCAGAACCGAAAGCCCCTTTACCGATTTGCTCAAGAACTTCATATTGCTCCATGTTGTAGACTCAAAACTTATCTTCACTGAATGAAGAACAAAATGGTTTTAATCTCATACACATTCCCAATAGCGAAAACATTTCTTTTCAATTCTTGGAATGTACTTTAACACGAATTCAACGTAGCAACTCAGCATCAAGGGAAAGTTATGTGTAGTCACTCAAGACTTGCATAGCTCGGAAAAATCCCATTTCTTTTTTTCTTCTTGAGAAACAAACAAAGTAAATGCAAAAGCAAAACAACACTACATTTATCACTCAAGAAATTTGATAAACCCATGATAGCAAAATGTGATCAAACCATAGTTACCCTATTAACTACTTACAACACAAAATTCAAGTCAGACAATCCCACATTCCGTTTCTTTTTAGATGAAAGCCCGGTTCTTTATTGTAGAAAATCGAATGCGGTATAAAGCAGATGAAATTACATAAACATTTTAGCAAACAGAAGCACAAAAATTTGAACTTTGTGTCCAAATTATCAAATTAGCCCAGCCAAATGGTCAATTTTAGGCTCAAACCAGATC